AGGATACCATTCATATATTGGATTACAGCCCACCCTGATGACCTCATTTTAGTTAATTACCTCTTTAAAGACCCTGTCTTCAGGTACAGTCCTGTTCTGAGGTACTGGGAGTTAGGACTTTAACATAGGAATTGTGGGGGGATGGAATTCAGCCCATAACACCCATTACTCAGGGTAAGGGTCACTCCACACTCAGCCCATGCTACTGAGGAACAGGTTGTTTGGAAGATACTATGACCTGGAGAGCTGGTAGTCCAAAAAAAAAGAAAAAGAAGAGAGCGAGAGAGAGAAAAAAAGAGAGCCCTAAGTCATAGATCTCTAGAGGGGTGATTAGGGCAAAAGCTGCCATTTTCGTAATGAATAATTCCTTATGAACTAGTCTCCATTCCATTTGACTCATGTTTCATTTCCTTTAGTTATGCTACTGTTACAGTGTTCAGACAGAGCTAGGAAAAGAGAAACTATTTCTTCATTGCCTGAATGAAATCACCTAACACCCAGATAAAGCAACTTGTGTTTCCTGCCCAAATATAATACTGAACTTGAAAAGGAGAAGCAAATGTCAGCTTCAATGGGTGATTCTCATTGTTATTATTTACCAAAATGATCTATTTGGGGGGGAGAGAATGGTCTTCCTTAAACTAAATGAAGTAACTTATTTCCTTGGAATGTAAATCTTACAGGAAAACTCCTCTACTTTATCAAGTGATTGAGTGACTCTCTGCAAGTAGGTGAGCGTCTTTCTCACGAGTGACCTGCATTTGTCTTGAGATCATTCAAGAGGAAAGAAAATCTTGTCCCCACTACCTTATTTTTTTAAAAGTCTCCATTTCAGAAGTACCACGTAGCTTGGGACACTGTTTTCCTCATTTGTATTAACTTTCTCTGTTGGCGCACATCGCGTCTCACAGCTTTAATTATCACTTATATACAGATGATATTCAAATTTGCACTTCATTTCCAGCCCTTTCAGATGATGTCACCCTTCGCCTCGCCCCAGATTTGGCTCATATCTTGTCTTGGATGAGCCATGATTTTCTCTGATAGAATATGGATGAGATGGCGGCTTTGCAGTTTAGTTGTAAATAAACTCTAAATGCCCTGGAGTTAATTTACCTCATTGATATCCTGCCCCTCCAGTTAAGAGCAAGAGTGTTCTGTGACTGACTCTGAAATATTCTCCTTCGTTCATCAGAGACGACCCAGCCAAGGGATTAATCTCCACAAAATATCCAAAGATATGTGACGGTTTCCATCACTCCCAATTTTGGCCAGAATTCTGGTTATCGCACAGCTGAAATTCTGCCATGATCTTTGGAAAGGCTTCCGATCAGTCCCCTGTTTACGGTCTACTTGGAATACGGCTGCCCTTTGGCCTTGCTCTGTGTACACTATCCTGGGACACATTTTCCTTCAGGCAGCTGTGCTAGTTTCTTGTGCACTGAATAAAATGTAATTTGTCAAGATCTTGGCCAGATTCTCTGCCTTCATATAAACTAGCTTTTGAAATGTCTTAAAATTATGGTCTCTCCTTTTCAAGAGTTGCTTGCTGTTTTGTTTCGTCATGTGGTTGGAGAGGTACCCTGAGTAGCACCTCGATACGCACAGAACGTGCTGTCTTAAACAAAAATGTGTATTTGAAAACACTAGGAATATTTCATCATAAGCGTTAACCTATGAGAGCCTGACACATAATAAGCAGTATGCACTCAATATGTACTTGTTGGAAGAAAGACTTGAGTAAACGAATTTGTGATCCTTTGACCCATTTGTGGGTTTTGCTGCTGTAGTTATTTATAACATTTTTATCTACCTGTTAGGTTATTATGTAACTGTGCTGTGTAATTATTATTTCAACTAGAACATATTGGAACTCTCCATTAACATAACTGAAGGGTATAAAATAGAATGTTTGGAGTTGTCAATTAGCCGATTTGTCTTGTGTTGCTTTTCTTCATTATTTCAGTGTAGCTAACGGTTCATTCAGCACATTTTAATTAAAAACAAACATATGTGGGTCTGCTAAGAACTCTAGTATCTGGTAGTGCAGTTAGACAAAGATGGCAAATATTTCTAGCAGTGACCATATGATATCTTCCATTCATCTCAGCATAATCCTCCGAATCTAATTATTGGGAGGATGGCAGCTGCACTCAGTTAGGCTTTTCTTTATTTTTACAGAGATGTGTTTTTTTCAGCCCGTTGTATGGTAGAGAATCAGCTGCTGCTGGAGTCCTTCCCAAGGCTGAAGGCCCAGCATCTACAGGACTTTCCCCCAGTTGCTTCCATTGCAACATTAGCTGTTTGTTCCTGCCCACGTGCCATCTGGCCTGAAGATGTTCCAAGGAAATGTATGGTCTTCTGACAAGCTATCTTCCTCTGTTTATACAAATATATTAGGTATATAGTTATGACCTGAAGGTATCAGCAAGGAAGCCTCATTGATGGGTGTGGCATTACCTGCATGAAGTTACCATGTCCTGTCCTGGGGGCTGGTCTTCAACTTTGCAGACTCAGAAGCATGATTCTGTCAGCTTAGTTTCTGACTAACTGAGGATGCACAGGAGAATGTATTCATTTAAAAAGAGGATTATGACAGCTGAAAATATGCACTCACACCACATGTCCCTCTAGTATGATAATTGAGAATGGGGACTCTGGAATCAGACCACCGGGGGTCAAATCCTATGTGTGGGGCTTACTAGCTATGTGATTTGGAACACACTGCTTAATTTCATTACATGTGGCAGACAGCCTTTAGGGGGACCCCATGATCCCTCCCTCCTGGTATTCATACCTTTGTGTCACTCCCCTCCCCACAAGTGTGGGCGGAGCTTGTGACAAGCTCCTAATCAATGGAAGGTGGCAAAGGCAATAAGACGTACATGATTATGTGCATGGGATTCTGTAAGAGCATAGCACCCATCTTGCTACAGTTTCTCTCTGTTTCTGTCTCTGTCTCTCTCTCCTTCAACCCATGCTTTTGGAGTGCTGAGCTGCCATGTAAAAGTCCAGCTACACTGAGGCCACCATACTAGAATGACCACGTGGAGAAACCAAATATAAATAGAGATGCCCAAGGAGCTGCCTATCTTCCAGCCCTAACTCCCAGATCTTTTGGGTTTTCCCAGTCCAAGCCCCAGATATGTGTGTGAAGAGGTCTTTGAGATGATTTCAGCTCCACTCACAGGCTAATTGCAGCTGTGGAGCCACCCCAAGTGAGAATCACCCAGCTGAGCTCAGTCAGTCCCAGAACTGAGTGGGTGAAGAAACCATGGTTATTGTTTCAAGCCACTGTTTGAGGTAGCTTGTTATGTAGCAATGAAGAACTTGAAAATACACACATGCCCACACTCACGTTTGTATGCAAATGTATTCATACAGACACATATCCAGTTTGACACACACACAGTCACACAGCTTGGTAACTAGTGGTATCAATGCTATTGTCACATTTGCTATTATATCCTAGATACTTACCATCTCTAGAGTCAGCACACGTGGTTTTGATTATTTGTAAATCCCAGATCCATGAGGTACGGTCATGTATAATTTTGCTGAGCCATGAATTTGAGTCCCAGGCTCGTGGGTGGGAGCGAGTTTCTCAGCTAGTGAGTGATCCTAGCTGACTACCAGCACAAATAGGATTTTGTTCTCTACTGGTCATTCCTTATGCAATAAATTTTTGATGTAATTTTTTTTTAAATGCTTTGCTCCCCCAAAAAAGTGCTAAAAAAATATCAGCTGACTGCTAGTCTTAGTGATAGAAGTGAAAGGAAAATAAAGAGGCCTGAGAAATAGAGATTCCCCACCTAATAATAGACATTTCAAAGAAGAGAATGCCAAATGTGACGGCAGCTTGGCTTTATGATGTGAAAACAGTTAAAGGATGCAATCCCCGAGCCAGGGAGCATAATTGGGTAAGTCATTTTGGTGAGAGCCCCAACCGGAACGTGGTAGTTTATAAAGTCATCAGAAGCCTCAAGACATCATTCATATTTTTCAGTTAGAATATATTGCATTTTGGGAGAAAATTAGATGCATAGTTACATTCACCAATTTGTGGGATATTTGAAGGTGCAGGGACATCTCTTGAATTTCAACAGAATGTAGTCCTTAACTTCACATATGAGATGCTCTGCTAGGCTTGTGCAGCATTAATAAGAGTGTAAGTCACGGTCCTGCCCTTGAGATGCATACAGTTTATCCAGGCAATGGGTGTGGAGGGAGGAGAGGCAATGAGAAACAAACAAATGATGAGGTAAATATTATCACACTCAAGTGTGGTGGTGAACATCACCTATGATTAGTTAGTGTAGAGAATAAGGGCTGTTAGTTCAGAGGAGAAAGAGCAAGAATTTGAGATCTCTCAAAGGAAAAGGTCCAAGCCGCTTAGCCTGGCATTCAAGGCCCTCCATAATCTTGTCCCAACTTTACCTGCAACCTTCTCTCATAATATCCTCTATATAAACAACACTTCTAGTCAATTTGGTTGATTCATTAAGAAATGCACCCACCTCTCATTTTACACCCTGTTAAGGAGTTTGAAATAAAATGAGCAATTTTAAAATGTGCTTTTAAATGTCATCTTAAAGAATTACATTCTTTAAAATGAACAATAAAAAAGAAAAAAAGAAAATGGGCCTTCCCTGGTGGCGCAGTGGTTGAGGGTCCGCCTGCCGATGCAGGGGACACGGGTTCATGTCCCGGTCCGGGAAGATCCCACATGCCGCGGAGTGGCTGGGCCCGTGAGCCATGGCCACTAAGCCTGCGCGTCCGGAGCCTATGCTCTGCAACGGGAGAGGCCACAACAGTGAGAGGCCCGCGTACCGCAAAAAAAAAAAGAACAATGAATGAGCAACACACATGCACATAAAATAATTTCAGAATAACACAATTTAAACTGCTTGCCAAATTGTTTTAACAAAAAATTCCTTAGCAATAGTGATTATAAAAATTCTCATGCATGATCTACCATGTTCCTTTCCCCTTCTGGCTAGCTGGAGTGGAGTCAAGCCCCAGGGTGACCTTGGACCCTACCTGGTGAAGATGGCAGAGCCTCAAGCCGCTGGGTCCCTTGAATGAGTGTGTGAAGGAAGGTCACCTAGCAACCAGGATGGCCCCTGTCAAATGGCTACAGGTAGATGTAAGAAGCAAATGTATATTGTGGTTGGCCTCTGAAATTTGGAATTTGTTTATTACGGCAGCTAGCTTCTTAGGCAATTTGCATTATCTTAACCAATATGGTCATTTAATTTGAAGAAGTGGGGAAAAAGCTACTAACATAAGAATAGAGGTTACCAGGTGCACTGACAAGGGCTAACAGGACAGTTCCCATCAAGACTATGGATTTCGGCACCAGACTGCAGGATTGAAAGCCAGTTCTGCCATTTACTGGGTATATAACTTTAGGCAAGTGTATTAGCTGGGGTTCTCCAGAGAAACAGAACCAGTAGGATGTGATACATATGTAGAAAGAGATTTATTTTAAGCAATTGACTTATGTGATTGTGGAGGGTTGGCAAGTCCAGAATCTGATGGGGGAGGCCAACAGGCTGGAGACACAGGTAAGAGTTGCACTTCAAATCCAAAGGCAGTCTGTTAGTGAACCAGGAAGGGCCAGTGCTGCAGATGGAGTCCACAGGCAGTCTGCTGGTAGAATTTCTTCTTGCTTAGAGAGAGGTTAGCTTTTCGTTCTTTTCAGGCCTTCAGCTGATTGGATGAGGCCCGCCCAGCATTATTGAGGGCAATCTGCTTGGCTCAAAGTCCACTGCTTTAAATGTAAATCTCATCCAAAAACACTCTCATAGAAACATCCAGAATAATGTTTGACCAAATATCTGGGCACCATGGCCCAGCCAAGTTGACACATAAAAGCAACCATCATAGGAAGTTAATCTCCCAGTGCCTCAGTGTTCTCATCTGTAAAATGGAGATAATAAAAGAACCTATCCTAGTGGGTGAACATGAAGGCTAAATGAATCAATGCATGTGTTTAGCATAGTGTCTGCACATCGTGCTCAGTGAGTGTTTGCTCTTGACTATTATTATTATTAATTAGTATTGTCATAGGCTTTGGCTGTATGCTTCTCTCTGATGAAAACGCTAAGAAAAAATGTAAGCAGGGCCACCAAGAGTAACAGGATTGTTTGGCTGGGAACACCAGTAATGTGATGAGAGACTTCGCACATTAAAATTCTCATAATGTAGCAAATGGAGACTTGCATACTCACATTTGCAGGCTATATTGGCCAGTTCTCCATTAGTCAGTGGCTATTTTTTTCTTGTTATTCCATGAATAAATTTTAATATATTCAACCTTCCCCATAAACTGCTTATTTACTGTTCATATTAATGCAATATAGCAAAAACATTTACATGACTGGAATCTTTTGCAGTCTACTAGAGCATTTCTCTTGCATTTCTTTCCCTTCATTTCTGGTGAGAAAATTCATTTTTGCTCTACATGCTTTTGAATTAACTGTCACTCCTCAGGAATGCAGTATCAGCATAAATCAAGAAGCTGATGTGGAGTGGAATGATTAAGAATCTGGCTTGTGGTTGGGCAAAATTGGGCGTGAGCCTTTCCAAGCCCTGGCTTCTTCACAGAGTGTTGTTGTGAGGACGGAATGGTGAGTCTCAGCACAGTGCCTGGCCCTCAGGAAGCACTCGATGAATGGGAACTATGATGATTCCTTTCATTAGGAATTCTCTGTATTGTTGTTACAATGTTCCACCTTGCGCTGGGGAGACCTAGCATCCTGGGTCCCTGAATGACTGTGTGGAGGAAGCAACCAGGATCACCACTGTCAAACTGTTACACATGCAAGGAGTCAACTATTGTGGTTAAACTTCTAAATTTGAGGTTTGCTCAGAATTCCAAAGGATGCATGCACCTATTTACAATAGCCAGGACGTGGAAGCAGCCTGAATGTTCATTGACAGAGGAATGGGTAAAGAAGATGTGGTAATATATAAGTGGAATATTACTCAGCTGTAAAAAGGAACAAAAGAGTGCTATTTGCAGAGATGTGGATGGACCTAGAGATTGTCATACAGGGTGAAGTAAGTCAGAAAGAGAAAAACAAATATCATATAACATCGCTTATATGTGGAATCTAGAAAAATGGTACAGATGAACTTATTTGCAAAGCAGAAATAGAGTCACAGATGTAGAGAAAAAACTTACAGTTACAAAGGGGGGAAGGGGAGGTGGGATGAATTGGGAGATTGGGATTGACATATATACACTACTATGTGTAAAATAGATAACTAAGGAGAACATACTGTATAGCACAGGGAACTCTACTCAGTGCTCTGTGGTGACCTAAATGGGAAGGAAATATAAAAAAGAGTGGATATATGTATATGTATAACTGATTCACTTTGCTGCACAGAAGAAACTAACACAACATTTTAAAGCAACTATACTCCAATAAAAATTAATGAAAAATAAATAAATTTGGGGTTTGCTTATTATAGCACCCAGCTTGTTAGGCACAGTGCCTCACCTTAACCCAGTGGTCCCCAAACTTTTTGGCACCAGGGACCGGTTTTGTGGAAAACAGTTTTTCCACAGATGGGGAGGGGATGGTTCAGGCAGTAATGTGATAGATGGGGAGCAATGGGGAGCAGCAGCTGCCACTCATTTCCTGCTGTGCGGCCTGATTCCTAACAGGCCGAGGACCACTATGGGTCCGCAGCCCGGGGATTGGGGACCCCCGCCTTAACCAGCATGGTCAGTTAATATTCAAGAGTCACTGGCCATTCGTGATATCCTCTCCACCTCCACAGGCTTCAAAGGCCTTGAGCTGCTATAGAAAGTGTCTGCTACACAGCTTGTTTACTCTCTGTATCTACTAGCCAGTGTCAATGCTTCTCTTCTTATGGAAATGTCTTCCTTTCCCAAATAGACAATATCATAGGTATTGATTTCAGGGTACAAGAAATGTGTCTTTCTTTATTCAGTTCCTTTCTTGAGTTTCCATGCTTCTGACATAGCAGAAAAGGAATTCTAGTTCATTGGGGGTTTTCCTAATTTCTTTTGGAGTTCCATCTAAGTTTTAGGTTGTGGGGATGGGCATCTTCAATATCATCATCGGATGCAGGCATTCTCGTTTCTGTTTGGGATTTCATTGTCAGTTAACTGGGGATTTTTCACTCATTCTTGACTGTAGGGCTTCCCTCCATTGGTCCAAGACTCAGCATTTTCATGCTGCTTATAGGTATGTGAGGATAAAGAAGCTTATGTGAGAGTCCAGGGTGTATAGAAATTTGTTTGTGGGTCAGTCGGTAGAAGAAGGTACTAAGGACAAAAAAAAAAAAAAATCAGTTAATATTTTAATATTTCCAAAGTATAATTCCACCACAAGCAGAGAGCCCCTTGAGGGAAGGAATTGTATCTTGACCATATTCTGGTACCCTGTCCAGCAAATCAAGTTGACCTCATTAAATATTCCCGCTGCCATTAACTAATAAAGAACAGTCAATGGGCCATAGAAACAGAGGAAGAAAAGATTTCCAGTCTTTTTGGAAACAGTAACTTTAAGCATGGGAAAGCACTGTTACGTGTTGGACGTGGCCACCTCCTCCCAAATTCATATGTGGAAGCCCCAACCCCCAGGACCTCAAAATGTGACTATATTTGGAGATAGGGTCTTTAAAGAGGTGACTAAAAGTTAAAATGAGGTTACTAAGGTGGGCACCAATCCAATATAACTCATGTTCTTAAAGAAGAGGTTAGATTACAGGCACACACAAAGGGAAGACCATGTGAAGACATACAAATTTCATCTTGTCATCAGCAGTGGCTGCCAAGACCAAAAGAAGGCCGTGCTTTAATTTGACCATAAGACTGAGCTGGGTCTTCAGTTCTACACTTAAGGAGGTTTTTTTTTAAAAAGTCATGTTATGGAAGCAACCTAAGTGTCCATCGACAGATGAATGGATAAAGAAGATATAGCACATATATACAATGGAATATTACTCAGCCATAAAATGAAACGATGTTGAGTTATCTGTAGTCAGCTGGCTGGACCTAGAATCTGTCATATAGAGTGAAGTAAGTCAGAAAGAGAAAAACAAATACTGTATGCTAACACATATATATGGAATCCAAAAACAAAAAAAGGTTCTGAAGAACCTAGGGTCAGGACAGGAATAAAGACGCAGAGCTAGAGAATGGACTTGAGGACACGGGAAGGGGGAAGGGTAAGCTGGGATGAAGTAAGAGAGTGACATGGACATATATACACTAGAGGGGTGGAATAGGGAGGGTGGGAGGGAGGGAGACGCAAGAGGGAAGAGATATGGGAACATATGTATATGTATAGCTGATTCACTTTGTTATAAAGCAGGAACTAACATACCATTGTAAAGCAATTATACTCCAATAAAGATGTTAAAAAAAAAAAGTCATGCTATATAATTTTGTTTCTCAATATGCAAAGTTGCACACATTATATTCTGCCTCTAGCCATGTTGGAATAACCAGTACTATTTGTTCCCTTCCTGCCATAAACAGCTAGACAACTGGATAAAATATATGATACAATTATTTTCAGATGTTGGACAGCAGGACTATAATCCCTGAGGGAAGGGAAACAAAACAAGGTGAAAGAAGCACGAGGGAGCCATAAACAGAAACGTTCTCAGCATTCACAGTTATCTGGAAGACAGTTGAGTTCCACCCAGTCAGCGTGGAGAAATCTCACTGACCACTGCCTTGGTTTTCTGCGGCTGCTGTAACAAATTACTCTCAGTGTAGTGGTTTAAAACAACACAAATGTATTAACTTACAGTTCTGTAGACCAGAAGTCTGACACGGATCTCACTGGGGTAAGACCCAAATGCGGGTATGATGCATTCCTTTCTGGAGGATCTGGGGAAGAATCGGTTTCTTTGCATTTTTTCCCTCCTAGGAACCACCCACTGTTTTTTGACTCATGGCCTCTTTCCTCTGTCTTCAAAGTCAACAACATTGAACTGCGTCCTTCTCACACTCTGTCTCTCTGGTTCTCTCTTCTGCCTCCCTCTTCAGCTTTTAAAGACCCTTGAGCCCACCTAGATAACCCAGGATAATCTCCCTAATTTAAAGTCAGCTGATTAGCAAAACTTAATTCTTAAACCCTATTTCCCCTTTGTCATTTAACTTAATTATTCCCAGGTTCCAGGAATTAGGATGTGGACATTTGGGGAGGCCATTATTTTGCTTATTACAACCACTGAGGCATTTACTAGAGACCTCAGAACAGTTAGGCCATAGTAGTAGAGATAAATTAGCCCTAAAACAATGGATGTTCTAGATTCGACCTAACAAAGCTTGAAAATAAAAAAAATTAAGCTAGTCCATAAGTAAATTAATGCTTGTCAAAATGAACATCAATACTCTAAAGAAAGACAACAAAAGCCAGACACAAAACAATGTGAAATTTAAAATCACATCAAGGGGCTTCCCTGGTGGTGCAGTGGTTAAGAATCTACCTGCCAATGCAGGGGACACGGGTTCAAGCCCTGGTCCAGGAAGATCCCACATGCCGCGAAGCAACGAAGCCCCTGAGCCACAACTACTGAGCCTGCACTCTAGACCCCTCGAGCCACAACTACTGAAGCCTGTGCCTAGAGCCCATGCTCCCCAACAAGAGAAGCCACTGCAATGAGGAGCCCGTGGACTGCAACAAAGAGTAGCCCCTGCTCGCTGCAACTAGAGAAAGCCTGTGTGCTGTAGTGAAGACCCAACGCAGCCAAAAATAAATAAATTAATTAATTAATTAAAAAAATTTTAAATCACAGTCAAAAGTTACTAAACATTCAAAGAAGCAAGATGGTATGATTCATAATCAGGAGAAAAATTAATCATAAGAAACAGACCCAGAAATGATAGCAATAATGGAATCATCAAACAAAAACTTTAAAATAGCTCATATTAATATGTTTAAGAAATCAAAGGAAAACATGATCATACTGAGGAAAGAAATACAAACTATAAAAAAAGAAATGAATGGAATTTCAATGGAACCAAATGAAGTGAAGAATTCACTGGACAAGTTTTACAAGAGATTGGACACTATAGAAAAAAAAAGATCAGTGAACTTGAAGAAATCACAAAGGAAACTATCTAGGCTGAAACACAGAGAAGAAAAAGAGTCTGAAAAAAATGAAAAGAGCTTTAGTGACCTGTGGAACAAGATTAAGTGGTCTAACATATATAAAATGGGAGTACCAGAAAAGGGGGGACAGAAATGCTATTTGAAGAAATAATGGCCAAAATTTTCCCAAGTTTAAGGAAAACTATAAATGTATAGATTCAAGAGGCTCAATGAATCCCAAGCAGAAAATATACAAATAAAAACACATCACAAGTTACTGAAAACCAGTGATAAAAGAGTTACTAAAAGGAGCCAGAAAGAGAGACATATTACATATACGGAGCAAAGACGAGAATGCTCACAGACTTCTTGTCAGGAACAATGCAAGCTAGAAGACAAGGAAAATGTGTTCTTATAGAGATAGAAGGGGAAAAAAAAGGTTAAAGTAGAATTCTATATCTAGAAAAAATAATCTTCAAAATGGAAGCAAAACAAGGCTTTTTATCCGGGAGACCTACACCATAAGAAATGTTAAAGGAAACGTTTCAGGCTGAAGGAAAAATGATACCAGTTGGAAGCTTGGCTCTACACGAAGGGAAGAACACTGAAGTGGTGAATGTGTGTATAAATACAAAATAAGTGTCTCCCTAATTTAAAATTTTCTTTTAAAAAGAATTGACCATTTAAGGAAAAAATAATAGCAATGTATTGTGGGGGTTATTATATATGAAGTAAAATGAATGACAACAATTGTTTAAATGACCCCAAGGGAGAAATGGAAGTACAGCTATTGTGTGGTTCTTAGGGTACATATTAGTGGTATATTACGATTTGAGAGTAGACTGTGATGTCAAAGGTGCTTATTGTGAACTCTATACTCCATCAAAAAAATAAGGCAAGTAGATACTGATAATAAGCCAATAGAGAGAAAATAGAATCTAAAAATAATCTAAAAGATAGCATGAAAAGAGGAAAAAAATACAAATAACCAAGTAGAAAATAAAATAGTAAGGTTGGACTTAGCTCCAACCATATCACAAACTACATTAAATAAAAATACTTTAATTAAAAGTCAAACTGGATAAGAGAGTAAAACCCAATGGAACATTGCCTACAAGAGATCTAATTTAAATATAAAGGAATGGAAAAAGATATACTATACAAACATTAATAATAAGAAAGCTGAGTGTCTATATTAATATCAGACAAGGTGAACTTCAGGATAAAGAATATAACCAGAGAAAAAGAGAAACAATTCACAATGATAAAGGATCATTCATTAAAAAACATAACAGTTCTACATGAGTATACACCTATTCACAGAGCTTCACATACACAAAGCAAACACTAAAAGAACTGAGAAAAGATTTTACACCTCACAGTTAGGAGTGTTTTCAAAACTAAACATTGTGGGTTGTTTTTTTTTTCCACAAATGGTGACAGGAAAACTGGATATTCACATGCCAAAAAATGAAGTTGGACCTTACACCATATACAAAAATTAACTCAAAATGGATCAGAAACCTAAACATGAGTCAAAGGTATAAAACTCTTCAAAGAAAACATAAAGAAAAAAGTTCATGACGTTGGATTTGGTGATGATTTTGTGGATATGACACCTAAAGCATAGGTAACAAAAGAAAAAACAGATAAATTGGTCTACGTCAAAATTTAAAACTTCTGTGCATGAAAGGACATTATCAACAGAGTGAAAAGCCAACCCAGGAAACAGGATAAAATATTTGTGAATCATATATCTAATAAGGGATTCATATTCAAAATATATAAAGAACTCTTACAACTCAACAATACCAAATAACTCAATTAAAAAATGAGCAAAGGACTTGAATATATAGACATTCCATCAAAGAAGATATACAAAAAGTCACTAAACACATGAAAAGATGCTCAACATCACTGATCACTAGGGAAATTCAAATCAAAGCCATAATGAGATACCACTTCACACCCATTAATACGGCCATTATTTTTTTAAAAAAGAAAAACAGAAAATAACAAATACTGGTGAAGAAGTGGAGAAATTGAACCATGGTGCATAGCTAGTGGGAATAGAAAACAGTATAACTGCTAAGGAAAACAGTATGATGGTTCCTCAAATAATTAAACGTAGATTTACCCCATGATCTAGCAATTCCACTTCTGGGCATATAGCCAAAGGAATTGAAATCAGGTACTGGAACATGTATATTTGTACACCCATGTTCATAGGAGCATTATTCACAAGAGTCAAAAGGTGCAAGCAACGTAAGTGTCCGTAAACAGATAAATAGATAAACAAAATGTGGTACATACAATGGAACATTATCCAGTCTTAAAAAAGAAAGAAATTCAGGCTCATGCCACAACATGAACATTGAAAACATTAAGCTAGGTGAAATAATCCAGTTACAAAACTACAGATACAGTGTGATTCCACTCATATCAGAGACCTAGAGCAGTCAAATTCATAGAAACAGAAAGTAGAATAGTGGATACCAGAGGCTAGGGGGAGGGGAAATGGAGAGCTGGTGTTTAATGTCGACAGAGTTTCAGGGTGGGATGATGAGAAAGTTCTGGAGATGCATGATGCGGACGGTTGCACAATGTGAAAGTACTCAGTGCCACTGAACGGCACACTTTAACATTATGGATATGGTATATGTTACCACAGTTTTTAACATATATGTATACATATATGTATAACATATATGTATATGTTACCACAGTTTTTCTTAAAAAGAGGAGGCGGAGGAGAAGGAGGAAAAAGAGACTGAGAAGAAAGATAAAGGATTTGGGAAGAAAACCTCAGTACATTTTTTTTTTTATTTATTTTTTGCGGTACGCGGGCCTGTCACTGTCGTGGCCTCTCCCGTTGCAGAGCACAGGCTCCGGACGCGCAGGCTCAGCGGCCATGGCTCACGGGCCCAGCCACTTCACGGCATGTGGAATCTTCCAGCACCGGGGCACGAACCCGTGTCCCCTGCATCGGCAGGCGGACTCTCAAACACTGCGCCACCAGGGAAGCCCAACCTCAGTACATTTTTGACTGAGATGACTGAAGTTCATTTTCTTTTTTCTTTTTTTCCCGCAGTGGAGGGAAGTTCTGCTATTGCAGTCTGGCCCAGTTCCCCAGTTCTCCTCTAAGACAACTCCCGTGTGCTAGAAATCTGTAGCCAAGTGGGCCTGTGGGTCTGTATGCTGGCATGTGAACTAGTCTTTTCTTACTTCCCAGTTTAATTTAGGGGAAGGCACTTCACCAAAGTGCTTAAACAGGAAGGAGAAATTACCAACACTGTTACTCTCTCTTACAGCAGCCTCAGATTCAAGCTAAAGCTACCATTATCCTTTTCCCTCCGTTCCCTTAAAAATACTTGTTTCCCTCCTGGATTCCACAGAGAAGGGAAGTTTGCCTGATTCCACAGGCGCAGATGGAGCCACAGACTCTTGTAGTGATAAGGACCCTGTCCTCCAGGGGTCTCCTATTTGTCCACGGGTGCTCCCTGTGGATTCAGGAGTCAGGCCAGATCCCAGACTTGGATGTGGATTTCCTTTTTTGGGGAGCCCAGCAGCATGTGGGATCTTAGTTCCCCGACCAGGAATTGAACTCCCTCCGCCTACACTGGAAGTGCATCTTAACCACTGGACTGCCAGGGAAGTTCCTTTGTAATTCTTTCTTTCTTTTTTGTTTTTGGCTGGGATTTCCTTTCTGAATGATTGAATAAATGCCCAGTGTATCCAATAATAGACCCTATGGGTAGTTAATTCAACTTGGTAACAATTCAAATATGACTCCAGAGTAGAGCCTTCACATAGGGCAATAGAACTCTAGCATTGATATAATCATTTTTACAACGGAAATAACAATAATAGTAGCAATAACTAATAATAGTACCAATCGTACCAACATTTGGGATACTTTCATATAACACTTTTCTTATTGACTTATTTAATCACAATAATGCCACGAGGGAGGTTTCATTATCATCCCCATTTCACAGATGCAGAAACTTGGGCACAGAGGGGGGAGGTAACTTTCCCAGTTCCATGCTTGTCCATAAATTTGTAGTCCTTTTTCTTTTGTCTTTTTTCAAGTTTCAGACTATTTATTAATCAGTGTAAACCCCAGCACAATACACCAACATGATTTCGTGCATTTAGAGGGGAAATATTTCCTGGTTAAGTGGAAAATTGTGCAGGTGGCTTCTGGAAGAACTTCATTCTAAGCAGTTTTATAGTGAAACATTTCATTTAGAAGTCTGGACCTTCTCTCTTCAGTTTGCTGTAATCTACATTCACTGAATAGAACTTGTACTGATCATTGGGACCCAGTTTGTTCCAGGGTTCTGGGTTATCCTTTCTGTTCCAACTGACATCTGGATTGAACAACGCCAGGTGCGAGACATACAGCGCTGCTCCAGTACCTCCCACTCCAGTAAATATGAAGATAGGGATCAAGCTAGGATGCCTCTTGGCCTGAATGATGATCTGGAGAAGCATGGTTGCGACAGAAGCCTCGAGTCCAGACGGAGAGAACGACAAACTTTCAAGGCCTGGGACTAAACAGTCTACTGTATTCCTTTTTCTTGACAACTGCTTTCACCGTGGGATGTTCCACTGAGAAGCAGACTAGTTTGAGGCTTGCTCTGTGTTGTTGTATTATTCAAGTTATTTTGCTAGAGAGCCCGGGAAACCAACTCAAATTTGCTGAAGCACTATGGGAATTTATCGGTGGTGTGTATCCAGTTTCAGGCACAGCTGTATCCAAGTGACTAAATGGTGGCTTGCGTGCTCTCTCACGCGCTCTCTCTCTCTTTCTCCTCTCCCCCCACCATGCCCAAGCATGTGAACACCCAGGCATGAGCGCGCGCGTGCGTGTACACACACACATACACACACACACACACACACACACACACATTTTCTCCACCTCTAGAGTTGCCTACCTCTCTGCTAACATGGTTAAACTGACTAGCATCAGACCTACATCTAAAAGTCTAGAGTTTGGGACTTCCCTGGTGGCGCAGTGGTTAAGAATCCGCCTGCCAGTGCAGGGGACACGGGTTCGAGTCCTGGTCCGGGAAGATCTCACATGCCACAGAGCAACTAAGCCTGTGCGCCACAGCTACTGAAGCCCGCGTGCCTAGAGCCCATGCTCCGCAGCAAGAGAAGCCACAGCATTGAGAAGCCCGCGCACCACAATGAAGAGTAGCCCCCTCTCGCCGCAACTTGAGAAAGTGGCGCACAGAAACGAAGATAAATAAATAAAGTCTAGAGTTTGGTAAAAAGACAAGGCTTTTCCCTCTGAAGTCCCAGCATGAATCTGGCCTTGAGTCTTGTGGACCTGTCTTGAGTCACCTAATATCCCTAAACCCATCACTGTGGTCAAGTGGAAGGCAACCTTGGCTTGGCCTGACCTGAGCCAATTGCCCATCTTCGCTGGGTGGGGCGAGGGTTTGGCTCCACCTAAACTGTGTGAATCAAGGCTGAGAAAGGCAAATTGAGATGTCGGTATTCAAAGAAGGAGGGAGTCCATGCAGGACAGACCAAAATAACAGACATTCGTTGCCGCTGCCAGCAAAGCAGTCAGTGGTAGACACTGGATGATATTTGACCACGAGGTTGAGTGTAGGGAATCTTTGTCTTTGGATTGGATGTCCAGTAGCCTGCTTTTTCCCTACAAAGCTTGCTGACCAAAGTCCTTTTAAAGATTCTAACAGTTTTGAATTCATGACTCATGGGTCACTCAAGAAACTGAGCCACTGCCGTAGTTTTACTTCTATTTTGATATTCATTTATTCATTCAACAAATATTATTGCAGCCCTAGCTAGGTGTAAGGATCTCGAAATACAGAGGTGAATCGGTGTCATGGCCTTGGCTTACACTCCAGCAAGGGACTTAATATCCATTTAATGTAGGTTTGCTTGACTACATAAATCACGTGAAGCTTTTGAATATAATGTTGGATTTTCCTATGACACCATGGATAGAATTTCAAATAGTAGCAGGTAGTCAATACATGTCTGCTGATTGATTATATGATGGTAAAGATTCATCCTTGTGGATCATTATTTTTTCTCTATTGTTTATCTGTTCCTAGACCAATCAGATCATGAGTGATGGAGACCAGCTATGTTTCTGAGAACATTGATGGAATGCTATTTCTTACAGGTGGTGGAAATGGAAATTATTTGCTATGGGAACCCCACGTCTACTAATTATTAGCGTGGTGGTAAACGTGTGTGGGAATGGGAGGTCTTACAACTGTCTTTCTTCCCTTTCTGTATTTTTGCTACCTTTGATCTGGAATTTTAATCTTATTGGGTTAAATTATTTCTGGTGAGGTGTTCAAAGACTTTCAAGTATCTCTGCCTTTTAGAACATTAGCTTCTTTGTTGTGTGTTTTTTCCTAACTATTCCAAATATAGTATAATGACCAGAAAGCAGAAAGAAAAACCGTTTATGTTCTTGACTTTGATATCATATTCACAGCTACCACTTAGTAACTTTCTAGTTCTTAGTTTCATTTCAGTGTCATTTCCGAGGTGCCTGCCAGGATTATAATCATTTCAATCCAAGTTTCTATACATTTAGGGAATAAGTTGCTTCATTTGATTTAAACATAAGACCTTAATATCTGTATTCATACATGGCTCAGAGCTCCTAGTAGAGTTATTGTAGAGCTAGACTACTGTGCATTATTTAATATATTTATTAATTCATTAAGCAAATATTTACTGAACACCTACCACGTGTGAAGGTGGTCAAAAGGTACAAACTTCCAGTTATAAAATAATTAAGTCCTGCGGATGTAACATACTGCACGGTGGCTGTAGTTAGTAATACTGTATTGTACATCTGAAAGTTGCTAAGAAAGTAAATAGACCTTAAAAGTTCTCAGCACAAGAAAAAAATTGTAACTGTGCAATGGTGAATGTTAACTAGACTTGTTGTGGTGGCCATTTCACAGTATATATATATATATATATATATGTATATATGTGTATATATATATATATATATCAAATCATTACATTGTACACCTGAAACTGATATAATGTTATCTGTCAATTAAATCTCAATTTTAAAAAGTATCAACAACAAGGTCCTACTGTATAGCACAGGGAACTATATTCAATACCTTGTGATAAACCATAATGGAAAAGAAAAAAATGAAATTAAATGAATAAATAAGTTCGTACTCTCAAGGGCTAGGAAGAGATGTAAACCACAGAATGGGGGAGAGTGGTCAGGGAAGGGCCCTTAGATTGGGGGAGTGTATTACCTTGGTGGCCGTAACACAATATCACAGATAGAGCGGCTTAAACAACAGAAATGTGTTTTCTCACAGTTCTAGAGGTTAGAAGTCCAAGGTCAAGGTGCCAGCAGTTTTGGTTTCTTCTGAGGCCTCTCTCCTTGGCTTACAGATGGCCATCTTCTCACTGTGTGTTCACTTGGTCATCTCTGTGTGTCTTTGTCTGTGCTAATCTCTTATTCTTATTAGGACACCAGTCATATCGAATTAGGGCTACCCTTACAAACCCTTTTTAACTTAATCACCTCTTTAAAGGCCTTATTGATGAATATAGTCACATTCTGAGATGCTGAGGGCTAGGGCTTCAATATGAATTCTGGGAGGACACAATTCAGCCCATAACGGGGGTTCAGGGAGGTCCTCTCTGAGGAGGGGAGACATCTGAGCAGAGACCAAATGAGGGAACGAGTCACAGGTGTAGGGTGAGTCATCTGGGGGAAGAGCACTTCTGGCAGGGGGACAGTGGGTGCACAGGCTCGAGGCTGGAGGCTGGAATATCAAGGAGGCCATGGTGAACAGAACCCATGAGGGAGGGCAAGGATGCCAGAGATTCAAGCAGAGGCCAGCCATGAGGAAACCTGGAGGCATGGTGAAGACTGAATTTTCTTCCGAATGTCATGGGAAGTCAGGGGAGTGTTTTTTGTTTTTGTTTTTGTTTTTGTTTTTGTTTTTGTTTGCGGTACGCAGGCCTCTCACAGCCGCGGCCTCTCCCGTTGCAGAGCACAGGCTCCGGACGCGCAGGCTCAGCGGCCATGGCTCACGGGCCCAGCCTCTCCGCGGCATGTGGGATCTTCCCGGACCGGGGCACGAACCCGTGTCCCCTGCATCGGCAGGCGGACTCTCAACCACTGTGCCACCAGGGAAGCCCTCAGGGGAGTGTTTTGAGCAAGACAGGGTCATAATTTCACATATGTTTGTAAAGGATTATTTTTAAATTTGCAAAGATTTTCTGTAGACTCCCAAGAATTCACTTGGAAAGATCATACTGATCATGAAACCCAGAAAAGTTGAGATGCAGACCTCAGCGGTTACTCTCCACTGATTTCCTAGGAATTCCTTCCCTCAAAGATGAAGGTATCAGCTAAGAATTCTTTGGAATACTGGATTACTACTGATGTTTCTCCTGCCACATACAATGATGCTGAGTTTCTGACAAGAGAAATATCTGACTCAATTTGCATATATGGAAAAATACCCTTTTCTTGAAGAGAAACTTTGGTTCTGATGATTGGGTCTGTAGTAATTTATTTATAAGGAGTGATGTTGAATTGACATCACTTGGGACAACTTGAGTCAGGGCAAAACTCTGAGGTGTCTTTTCCATCTTTGACAAATGTCATCTCTAGAATAGATGAAGTAACAAGAGAGAATACCAATTACTTTGGAAGTCTTGAGCAACCTGTTGCCAAAAAATAAGGGATCTCCACAAAGCAAGTCACATACCTAGACCCTGTTCTGAAATAACCAGAGACTGGGCATTCTAAAGCCCCATGTACGGGAAGCCTGCACGACACTGGATTATAACCCCAACCATCAACACATTTTAAGTCCCTTAAAATGGCCATATCCATCTGTACAGGGTATTCGTGTTGCACTCAGATTCAGGCACTATACTCAGTAGAAACATATTTGTTGGATAGATTGGTAGTCGTCTTCGTGGGAACTTGTGAACATGAGCCGTCAACTTTTCCCTCTTGTATCTCCATTAAGCTTTGTTACTGAAGGCTGTCTTCTGGAATCTGTAAAAAACTTCCTCATATAGAAGAGTATAACGATTTTGGACACACACACACACACACACAGAGAAACTTTCAACTGTAATCTCCTGGTTAGAGACAGTAGAATTTTAGGTGAGATCAGTTAGATTTCAAAAATACCAATAGGTCACTTTTTCAGTCTCTCTTCTTTTGGAAACACACTCTCTGTTTTATGAATGGCAAGAAGGTAAATAGAAAACAAATTTATCTAGTATATGCCATGGAAATCGTTTAGATAACTGGAAACAACTTCAATATGAATATGAAAGCTTCCCTCACCCCCAAAGGGAGAGAAAATGTACTAAGCTACTCTGGCCAAATAATTAGAATTATATATGTGTGACTTTCCATATCTAAATCCAAACATTCCTTGTTTAGAACATTCCTCTAAAGATTGTCTTCTGGCACCTGAAGACACGAAATGGCCCAGGATCACAATACATTTTCACAGAGTCTTGGTACTGAAGGATAGAATTCAAGGCATTAGGCAGGATATCTCAGTCAAGTTCTCCAGCATTTTGAAGCTATCCTTGAAGGCTGCATTAAAAGGATAGCACAGCGGTAAAGTAATGTCTCATTTGCTTCAATAAGCAAAGTTGGAGATTATTTATGATAACACAGTCATCAGAAGAATGTGTTCCTGTGCATTCTGAAGACATGAAGCCTCACTTTGAGTCTTACTATTAAGTCCTTGCTGTGAAGGGGTGGTAAGTGTGATTAAGCTGTTAGATTAGCAAGGTTCTACTGCATTTTCGCTTTAAGCCAGAGTGCTTTCACAGCTGAGCTGTAATGCTC